ACACTTATAGGAAAAGGTTAAGAGAATAAAAGGTATTAAATCCTCAAAGTTTAATACATCAAAATACCTAAACAGACAAACATAAGCAAGGAATGTAGACTGAGGGAGGGGAGAAGTTTGAGGGTGTTACAATCCTCCCCACCTTGGGCTAAATTTCGTCCTCGAAATTTGTGTTCACGTGAAGAGCTGGGGATAACGCCTCTTCAAGTCCTCTTCTGCTTCCCAGGTCACGTTTGACCCTCGATGATGCTTCCATTGCACCTTAACCATGACAACCTCCCTGTTTCTCAGCACTTTGGTTTTTCTTTCCAATATAGTCTCCGGTTCCTCCATGCATTGATTATTCTCATCAACCCGAATTTCCGATAATGGTATCACACTATCTTCGTTTGCCAAACACTTACGAAGGTAACACACATGAAATGTGTTGTGAATTCCGGCCATTTCAGATGGTAGTTCCAACTTGTAAGCTTGAAGCCCTACTTGAGCCAAAATTTTAAATGGTCCGAGAAAACGGGGGTTGAGCTTCCCACGCTTCCCAAAGCGGATGATGCCTTTCCAAGGAGATACCTTAAGCATAACACGATCGCCCACCTGGAATTCTATGGGTCGGCTCCTCTTATCTGCGTAACTCTTTTGTCGATCTTGGGCCGCCTTCAGGCGTTCTCGAATACACTTCACCTTATCGGCCGTTTCTTGTACGATCTCCGGCCCAGCGAACTGTTTCTCACCTGCCTCAAGCCAACACACAGGGGTCCTACATTTTCGACCATACAAAGCTTCGAAAGGTGCCATCCCGATACTAGAATGGTGGCTATTGTTATAGGCGAATTCCACGAGGGGTAGGTGAGAATCCCAATTCCCGCCAAAGTCGATAACACACGATCTAAGCATGTCTTCGAGGGTTTGAATGGTCCGCTCACTCTGACCGTCGGTTTGGGGATGATAAGCAGTACTCAATTTTACCCTCGTACCCAATTCTTTCTGCAAGCCGGCCCAGAAATGGGAAGTGAATCGGCTATCCCGATCTGACACTATGGATAACGGTAAACCGTGCCGCGAGATTACTTCATCGATGTAAAGCTTGGCAAGTTTGTCCATTGGCAAGGATTCACGCATAGCCAAGAAGTGGGCGCTCTTTGTCAGCCGGTCAACCACTACCCAAATCGTATCATGATTTCTTAAAGTCTTCGGCAACTTGGTCACGAAATCCATTGTAATGTGCTCCCACTTCCACTCGGGGATTTCCAGGGATTGGAGGATACCATAAGGTCGTTGGTGTTCCGCCTTCACTTGTAAACAAGTTACGCACCTTTCTACATAATGAGCCACATCCAGTTTCATGATAGGCCACCAATATGTCAATTTCAAATCCCGATACATCTTGGTGCTACCCGGATGAATTGAGTATTTCGATTTGTGTGCGTCCTCTAGCAGCAGCTCCCGATTGCCTCCAATTTTGGGTACCCAAATACGCCCTCGGAATAATTTCAAACCACGGCCATCCTCCGACAATAATAAATGTTGCTTTAACATTATTTCGCTTTTGAGGTTTTCTTCTAGAAGTGCCTCGGATTGTGCCACTTTGATCCGCTCGATTAGATTGGACACTAGATCGATTCTTGTAAGTACAGTTTTCATCCCTCTACCGCACTCTTTCCGGCTTAAGGCATCCGCCACCACATTTGCCTTTCCAGGGTGGTAAAGTAACTCACAATCATAGTCTTTGAGCAGCTCGAGCCAGCGCCGTTGCCTCATGTTCAATTCCTTCTGATCAAAAATGTACTTCAAGCTCTTGTGATCAGTGAAGAGCGTGCACTTGGTACCATAGAGGTAATGTTGCCAAAGTTTTAAGGCGAACACTACCGCTGCTAACTCTAAATCGTGGGTGGGGTAGTTCCTCTCGTGATCTTTGAGTTGCGTTGATGCGTAGGCAATCACTTTTCCCCTTTGCATTAAGACGCATCCCAAACCCATTTTTGACGCATCGCTATAGACTACGAAGTCTTCGGACCCTTCAGGCAAGGATAGAATTGGTGCTTCGCATAATTTCTTCTGGAGGGTTCTGAAGGCATGCTCCTGTTTCTCAGTCCAGACAAATTTCACATTCTTCTTAGTCAGAGCTGTTAAGGAAGAAGCGATCGTGGAAAAATCTTGAATAAACCTCCTGTAATAACCTGCCAAACCCAAGAAACTTCGTATTTCGGATGGACTTTTTGGTGGTTCCCAATTCATCATCGCCTCGATTTTAGATGGGTCCACTTTCACCTCGTCACGGGTAACTATGTGACCCAAAAATTGAACTTCCTCTAACCAAAAATCACACTTGGAGAATTTTGCATACAATTTCTCCCTTCTTAACGTTTCGAGGATTTCCCGAAGATGTTGCTCATGATCCGCTTCGTCTTTGGAGTAAATGAGAATGTCGTCTATGAATACTATTACTGACTTGTCAAGGAATGGTCGGCACACTCGGTTCATTAGGTCCATGAATACCGCCGGTGCATTCGTCAAACCGAATGGCATGACTAGAAATTAGTAGTGCCCGTATCGCGTTCTAAAAGCTGTTTTTGCCACATCATCTTCCCTCACCCGCACTTGATGATATCCTGAACGAAGATCGATCTTAGAGAAACAGCTGGCTCCCTGGAGTTGATCGAAGAGGTCGTCAATCCTAGGGAGAGGATATTTGTTCTTCACGGTTGTCTTGTTGAGTTCCCTATAGTCAATACACATTCTCATGGTGCCGTCCTTCTTTTTCACAAATAAGACTGGAGCTCCCCAAGGTGACGAACTCGGTCTGACGAATCCTTTCTCAAGAAGGTCCTTCAATTGAGATATTAATTCTTGCATTTCAGAAGGAGCCAATCGGTAAGGGGCTCTAGCGAGCGGGGCGGTCCCCGGGATAAGATCGATTTGGAACTCCACTTGCCTAGCTGGTGGTAAACCGGGTAGATCTTCCGGGAATACATCGAGAAATTCGTTGACCACATTCACTTCCTCAATCATCTTTTTTTTTTGTTTGGCATCTAATACGTACGCAATGAATGAAGGACACCCCTTAGCTAAGCATTTGCGCGCCTTTGCTACTGATAGGAGTTTTACGGCTCCCTTCTTCCTTTCTCCATAAATTAGTACAACACTCTCGTCCGGCAAAGGAATTCGAATT